TATCGCTACTAGGTAAGTCCTTAAATGGGACTTTACCAATTTCCGATCGGATTCGGAGCGGGTGGCCCTCCAATTACTCTCTAGGCATCTCTTCCGACGCTTCATCACCCTCAGCTCCTCGGAAAACCAAGGAGCCAAGGTAGACCGGCATCGGGTGAGGGGCCGCAAAGGCACGACCCGGTCCAGGGCCCCCGCGGCCACACCATTCCAGGCGGCCACCAGGTCCTCAGTCGAGCCGTGGGTCAAGGTCTCAGGTATTGGCCCAAGCTCCATCTGGAACCTCTCAGGGTCCATCAGGCGCCTGGGGCGGAACCATTTTGTCACTTCTGGTTCTGCCTCCCCGCGGTGGGGCGTAGCGGTAGGAAAGGCCAGCCGAAGGAGTGATCTGACCATGACAGGGGCTCAACAACCATTTCCCCTAAACCATGATCACTCAGCCACTGGCCGAGTGATCAGAAAGCAAATTATGTTCTTATAACTTCCTATTCACTTTTTTGGATTCAAAAAGCAAAATGATAAATTGAAATTACCACTGTGCATCTTTGCATTTGATGTTGATAGAACTGCAACTTGTGTCCTGTGCTTCTCATCTTAATTTTCAGGAATATGTTAAATACTAGATATTTCTGATCCATTATCATGAACCCAGGACTTTCTCTATGCCCATCATCGTTTGGGATTGGAGTATGAAAGTCAGCAAACAGTACATAAGTGGGATCCATTATCAGGCAGCAATCAAGCTGAATTTAGAGAACAAAATCCGGTATATTCTACTCAATATGTAATGTCACATTCCACCAGTGATATGATACATTATATACATGAAAATGTTAAAACTACTATTTTAAGTGGAAATGAGGAAATGTATCAGCAAAAGTAAGAACTGATTCCATAGAATTATAGTTAAGAGTTATTTTTATGTATAATAATGCACAATAAATATTGTGCAGAATAAAAATAATTATGTTTTCATTTTGAGGGAACCTTGTCTTCTTACAGGGATAATTTAAATTTTAATGGGGCAAATCCAATTTTTTATTCACACAGGTTACTATTCGTATTTAACATTTTTAGAGCGAATCCCAACTATGCAAATTCTAAATGCTTTAATGTTCTTTACTTAATTTGAAATCAATTTCTTAATTTACAATTTTATATTATAGCAATGCAATCCAATCTATAATTACTTATACATGATTTTTTCCCAGATTGTTTTTTTTCCCCTGTGAAATATTTTAAGAGTGCATTAAAAAGTTTCTGTATGCTAGGGGGTTAACAATTTTATGTGAATATTAACAATATTGAATATATTATCTAGCATTATCTTATTAAACTTTTAATAAGGCCAAGAATTAAGGATGCACAATTGCCAAATCTTAATTGTGTCTCTAGACTTTCACAAGAATAGATCATACTTGAGCAGAACACCAATGGTTGCTGAAGCATTCTTTATTCCCTATTCATTTATTCATTCCCAACTGTAACTTAATACTAATTTATTTCTGCAAAGTAGCAAATGGAATTTGAAAGTTAAGAAAATGTGTACTGGTTTTGGGCTTTAACATCCAAGGTGTTTTTTTTAATTCCAGGTAAAAGTAGTCAGCCATATGAAATATGTAATAGTTCCAAAAATAAAGGAAAAGTTTTTGGAAAGAGAAAGAAAAAAAAACTGTTTTTATGAGAAAATTAGAGATTTGTATCAGGTTGCCATCCTAATCCCTCTAAAAAGAGATAGAATATTTAGGTTAACATAATGTGTTACAAGAATATTAGTAATCAGATTTGCTCTGAATCAACTTTGAATCCACGTATTCTATTTTACCCAAGATTTTATAAAGTGAATTGTTTGCTATTACTGACAATTCTGATTATTTTACAGGACTGTGATTGTTTCAAATTCAAATGTATCTTATTGAATCGCTTAGAACTGATGTTGTAGAACCAAAAGTTTATATGTGTATGTGCATGTAATCCTTTGTCTATCTAGAAATTCACTCCAGCCCTTCTATACTGTTGTTCTCTAGATATAATGAAGTACGTTCTAAAGCTTGTCTTGAATTTGCTCAATCTAAATTAATGGGCAAACAAGGTATGAGATGTAAGACAAAATATTACATTCTCCTTGATTAAACAGGTGCTTAAAATATAAAATTGTATAGCATTTGATTGAACACTTTATATTTTGTATACATACTACACAGATCAGTCTAGGTTTTAATTTTATGAATTACATAATATTTTTACTTCTTTGAAAACAAAGAAAAAATTTGCAGTCCTATACACTCTTGTCCTACAAAGAAGTCACTGAAACCTGCAAACTCCTTTCTATGTATGTGTAGAATTATTTTATTTTGCAAGAGAACTTAGATTGCTGATGAAATGCTTTAAGATACTTCTAATTAATAAAACAGAGTGGACTCAAAGAACATTCCATTGCTGAATACAAAAATATTGCCACTTTAAAAACAATAAGTTAGTTTATTTTACAATACTTTACACTATTTTGTTGTCAGATTTTTCACGCTGAAGTGTCATGCCTCATTCATATATGGTTTCATAATTTTGCACAAAGCATCTCCAACAACATATCATCCATATTTACTGTTCCAATGATGGGCCTGAAAAAAAGTTCTGCAATAACACTGGCATTAATTGATCCAAGCATGGAAAGAGCCACATTCAGTTTGGCAAATCTGTCCTGGTCTTCTCTGTGAATCAGTCTGACATGTTCATTTAGGGCTTGTTGTGCTTCTTGCTGCAGTCCTTGGATGTACTGCACACAGTGCAGCCCTGGCAACTCTAAAAGGAGACAGAGGGGGAGAAGAACAGAACATAAACATAACATTCTCTCTTTCACTTGTAATATAAACAATTTATATTGGATCATTTTGCTATTAATAAAGTATCATACTACATCAAATTTCTGACTAACGTTATATATTGAAAGAAATAGTCCCAAAGAGTTATCATATCGACAGAGTAATATAAAAACTGTTACATGGAAGGTATTTCAATCTACTCTCCTCTAAAGAAATAATAAACTGGTATGAAAGTAACATTTCTGCAAAAATATCTCTTCACACAAACTGATATCCATGTTTAATAAAGCGTTTCACTAAAGTTGATTCTTATGAATGAAAATGGTCATTGCAATATATATATATATCCAATACAATCTAAGTTAAAAAATATGGACTGCTGGTAAAGGTATTTCTGCAGCAAAAGGAGGTTCTAAATTAAACCAAGGTGTTTACATCTGCACCTCGCCTCAATACTTAGCAGTCTTGCATGATAGGATCCCTCCCTTAATTTTGACACCTAGCACTTGCTGCAAAGTATATATTACATTTATACCATTTTAGAATAGTTTAGAATAGTTATATTTTAGAACAGAAGACAGCACTGCTAGATTCTGACTATTGAAATACTTAGAAAATGCTAAAATACTAGTTTAAACTCATACCTGATAAATAACACAGAAACTTGATATGAGTTGTTTTTCTCATCACTGTTCTTTAAGAGCAGCATTATTTACACTGTTTTAATAATAAATGACTGGCATCTCAACAAGCTTGGATGTTTTAAGATTATTGCTAATATTTTTTTCAGATTAAATTATTCAGTCCCTAATGTTTTTATGCTTAATGTACTCAGTATTTCATTCCACACTATGTAATTTAATAAAGTTTAAATCATATCCTTCCACACCACATATTTAAAAAATGTTATTAATGAATTAATCAAAACCTTTATTTTTTATTAAATCCTTAAATGAGATATGCTGAAGCAAAGCTACCACTAGTTTTATCACATGCTTTTGAGGTAAATTCGTCATTTTTGTTTTCCCTGCTATAGATACAAAACAAATTGCACATAGGATTTTTTTTTTCAAAATCCAAACCTACCACGTTTATAGTTAGCAATATACTAATTATAGTTTCAAAATGATGTGAACCAAGTAGTTTTACTTCCTGTTGTCTGCATGCAACCCTTGTGAGCTGATATTTGCTTCCACACCAAGTATTACCAGAAGACTGTTTTTTCTAACATTTCAATTCACAAAAGTCTAATTCTCACTATGAGCTCTCGATCACCTGCTATGAATCCAAGAAGCAGAATGACTACTACTACTACTTATTATTATTATTATTATTATTAGGCATTTAGCTTAGTAACATTTTAAAAATACAGAATATGGACGCCAGCAATCTAACCCTCAACTGCTATATTCCGACACCTGCTAGTCCAACTTAAATCCTTAAATCCAGTTATTGAATGTTTTTTTTAAAGATGCTTTTGCAAGTATGGGCAAAACCAGACCAGTCGAACTTCCTCCCAAGCAACCGAGGAATACTATCAGAAGGACAGGCCCTTTCCGTTACCAGATATCTCCCAGATGAGTTAGGGTCCCCGATGGGAGTTAAAGGTCCCCACATATAGGGGTCCCCTAACTTCTAGGCCTGTCCCAAGGAAATACCAAAAATGGCTGGCTTACCCGGATTGAAGAGAACCGTCCCCTTGAGGTAGGCATACTCCTTGGTGCTTATGTCCAAACTCCAACATTTGGCCAGAAAACCTTTGATGCTTTGGATCTCTGCCGCCGACGGTAGCTTGGCGTTGCCGCCGCCACTTCCGTTCCCATTGCCACAGCTCTGCTCCGACTCCCCCTGCGTCTCGCGGAGCAACTGGAGCTGCCGCCGCCGCCGCTGATCTTCATCGCAGCGCTTGTTGGTCAGTATCCTGTGGAGCATGCTGGGCTCCGTGGTCTCCACCGTCTCGAAGTGCACTCGATCCTGGGCCAGCCCCAGCACGAGCAGCGGAGCCCAGCAGCTGCGCACCAGCACCAGCTGCTCGTCCAGAGGCAACTCCTGAAAGCAGGGCACGTTCTTGACGAAGCGCAGCGTCTTCACCAACACGGCCGAAGCCGCCTTGCACGCGACCTGCGGGTTCTTGAGGGCCACGCGCCTCTGCGTGCCGCACGAGCAGCCGGGCGCCGGCGCGTAGGGCCCCTGGCCCGGCTGAAGCGCGGGCTGGTGACGGCTGGTCGCCTCGTGCTGCTGCTGCTGCTGCTGTTGCTGCTGTTCCTCGCTCTTCAGAATGTTGTAGAGAATGCTGGTCTGCCCCCGGGAGTCCGTGCAGCACCGACATCTGTCCATGCACGCCATCTCTCCAAGGGGAGGCAGCGGCGGACTCTGAGGGAGGAAGAGCGGGGAAGCGGCCCCAATCAAAGACGCTGCCTAGTCGTCCTCTGTGTGGCCCTTAACTTTTATTTATTGCTCGCGGGTAGCCGTGCTTTGCGGCGCTGGACTTCAAAGGCGCAGACGCTCGTTACTGGCTGGGAGGAAAGGACAGGGCGGAAAACAAGAAGAAAAGCGACCCTTAAAAACTCCACCTTCTCCCCTCCCCTCTTCTCGGCTACAGAGAAGGAGAGCGCCTATATTCGTCTTTGTGCTGGGCTTGCAATCTGCTGCTTGCGTTGCTTGGGAAAATATTTCCGACTGCGTTGTGTAGCCTCCCAGCCCTCCCCCAGTTAAAAAACAGCTTCTTGGACAAAGCGAAAGGGACAAAAAATGCAAATCTTTCTACTCTGTCATCCCCCACTCTTATCTATTCCTTAGTTAGAGAACTGAAGCTTAGGAAAGCTAAAAGAAAAGATGAACAAAGTTCAGGGCATTAAATTGGCTTTAACTACAGGCTGTTCGGGGAATTAGCCAAATGCTTTGGGCTTTGTAGAAAGCCGTCAGATGAAAAAATGTTCTGGGTTTGCAGAAGATGGTTGTAATGTTTAACCTCAAGCACAACAATTTAATAAACTATATTTTTAAGATCTAATTAATTTCAATGTATTTGTATCTCCCCCCCCCATCAAGCCTAGAAAATAGCATTGTTCATTAATGAATTGACACAGAAAAATATACCTATCCCTCATTTTATTTATATTTTAGTTAATTTTACTGGAGTTTTAGGAGAATACTTTTGTTCAAATGCAGTTAAATCTATGTCGCAGAATATTGTTTTATTATACGCCAGATTCTCTTTCAGTTGGTTAACTTTGTGCTCTAGGATTGATGAGCTTTATTTGAGTATTTCCTATCATACTTCTTTTTTAAAAAAAAAAAACAGCATTCTTCAGCATTCAACTTCTGGCCAAGTTCAATTCAGAAATCCATTAAACAATACAATATTAGCTGAAGGCTCTACTATTGTAAAATAAATATTTAGACTGAATATCTAAATCAGTTTGACACATGATGGTGGAGCGGCTAACAAAATTAAAAAGTTGTAATTATTTTTATGTACTTATTTATAGAAGTCATTCCTTCCTGTCCAATATTTTGTAGAGCAAAAGCTATAGCTAGCAAATATATTATGAATATTACTGTGCCTTTATGGTTAACATTCTACATGTGGCCTTATATTTTCTAATCTTTCATTCATTTTGTTTCTTTGGTCTTGGAGTTCTATTGTTACTGATTTTACCTTTATTGTTAAATCTTACTTGTTTATTATGAATCTTATTTGTTTATTTTTGTTACGAATACTTATATATTGCCTGCTTGTGCAACTCTTAAGAACTTAAAGTATACGTATATTAAAGAATCCATTGCAAATCAATCCAACATTAAAACAGTATCTATTGCTATAGTTGGTTAAAATATTCAACAAATGCTTTAGGTGAGTGGTTCCCAAATTCTCTCAATTCACATCACCCTTATTGCCTCAGTAATTTTTCATGACAACCCTAATGGTTCCCAAATTTGCACCACTGTGCATCACACTTACTAACAGTTCCAGTTCTGGGTGCAGACGTATTACAACACCTTGTAATATCTTTTCCAAGGCTTTCTTTCATTGCTACCCTATCAAATGCTAGTCTGCGGCATATTTCGTGACTGCTTGTTAATTCTAAAAGGCAGCATATATCCTCCACTTTGATGAATTCATTGGCATTTTAAGACTAGTTATTATAGATGTTGTCATTAGTATGGTCTTCTGTATATGTAATCTTATCCCAGTTTTTTTCATTTTGCTGCTTTACTTCCATTACTTGTGTAAACAGATCATTTGCTTTTTCACTTAGCTGAAAGTATTATTAGTACAGTACAGGGTGATTTGCAAGTTTATGCCACATCCATCTTTTTTTTTATCTGTTCTCCTTTAACATATATTCAACATATAAGTTAGTTTTATGAATGAATGAATGAATGAATGAATGAAGCCAGTCTGTTTCATCATGTTCTATTCCATACTGTGGCTTTTTGACCTATGTATAGGCTTTGCATGAGGACAATGAGATATTTATTTATTATATATTTATTCAAATTTAATTTAGCTCTAACTCCAATAGACTCTGAGCAGCATACCAAAATCCATTAAAACAACACATAAAACCACATAGACAACCCAAACTAAAACAATCTTATCAACAACACAAATAAAAAAACCTTATAGATTGTTTTTGCATGAAAAGGAAAAAAAGCACTCATAATTTGTGATTTTGATGAGAAAGAAAATTGGATAATGAAAAAAGTTAAGCTTTTTTTTACTAATCATAGAGTAAAGAGAAGGTTGTAAATGTCCTTGCTGCAAAGGAAAAGGGAAGCTTTGTTTTTTATTGTTTTTTATTTTTTCTGCACTTTTGCTTTTCTTTCTTTACTGCTTAATTTGTTAATTTTAGCTTTATGTATTTTGTAAAACTTTAATTAAAATGTTAAAATAAAAATAAAACAAGGGACCCAGAAATACAATGATTAATACATCAGCACTGGGTCTGGGACCAGAGCCAGGTTTTAAGAGCTTTCCAGAACCCTAGGATAGGGGGTACAGTCCTTATCTCTGGGGAAATGTTCTGGAATTCCCAATTTCCAAAGTACATATGACAGTTTGATAGTATTGACCCAAACTAAGACACTTCTATGGTCAAAGATTGTATTTCTATAATCATTAACTTCCTGTGGGTATTCTTTGATTTTTCAATTATCCAGTGAACATCAACATTTTTTATTCCTCAGCCTGGCATCTGGCATTTCCCTTTCTCTGTAATGTTCTAATGATCCTAAGAATTATTTTGCTAACGTGAATTTAAGAATATTATATGATGGCTTACACATTCTGTAAACACTCCCATATTTGGTGTTAAAATGTAGACTGACCTTGAACTACAGATTTGCTGGCCACTGTATGATTCTTGGGATTTGCCTGCATAGTTTGGTTAGAATCTTTCCAGATTATTTCTCTGTTCCTTGGTATATTTCTGAAGAGACATTTTTCTGTAGACTTCCAATGTGGTAATGACTGGAGTTCTTGTCTAATGTCAACTGACTTTTTTTTGTAAATGTAGAGTATCATCTAAGTTATCTTGGATTTTGACACCTCTACATAATTTCAATATACTTCCATCTTTAAATTAGTTACTGTCTACCCGGCATCCTTTTGCATATCAATTTGAGGTTGAAATTTCTTTCCGATCTTTCAGAAGTCTTGTTTTTCAATGTGTGATCATTAACTCCATTGTACCAAAGTACTGTCTTTGGTATATCCTTCCTGACTATGAAAGTAGTGCTGGTTTTTTTGTTTTTTTTGTTTTATGTATCTTGAATAATAAACAGCATAATCTTCTGAATGAAAATACTAAGTAAGAGCAAGAAAGCACCAAGTGTCAGACCAGTGGTATGTTAAAACTTCAAGCTGGGAGCCAAGTCTCCACCATTTTATGAGATTGAAGGTTAGCAGATGAGGAGCTGTTACCCCTGTATTTAAGCACCTGTCACAGAAGCATAACCTCCAATCCATACTTCAATTAAGGAGGCCATGTGTTAGGTCCCAAGACAGCATGATCTGGGAGTACTTCCAGCTTTTGCAATCTCATGCTATTTCCAATCATTGTGATGTTTAGACCAGGAGAAGGAAGGACACCAAATATCTTTCTGCCTAAGGGATGTGATTATCTAAGTGTCATTTTATTTTGGCAGACAAGGCAACTAATGTTTCAATAAGGAGCAAGGCGCATATTCTCAAGGCAAGGCTGCCTGGACTGTTGTTGAAAGGGCCATTAGATGGCAAATGGCAGGATGGTTCAAATATATCATAGAATATGATGGTGATGATGATGGTGATAGTGATAGTGATGGTGGTGATGATGTTGAACGATATTGTTGAAGGCTCTGAGCAGCTAATAAATAGCATCATAAAATCAACAAAACCCAGTAATAATAAATATATTCACCTAAAAATGGAAAAAAGCTTACATATCTGTCAGTTCACCCCCAAAATCACAATATGCCTTCCTATTGATTTAAATAGAGTAATTAGGTGAACTGCTTTCCTGAAATCCAGGAAACAGCTGGTGTGCCAGATCTCCATAATACATTCCAAAGCATGGGGTCAGTGCTCTGAGGTCCTATCAGATAACATTTTCAGATTAACAAGACCTGGATGGTCATGATCCTCTTTGATCTGAATGGACAGGCTGATAAATACAGAATAAGGGAGTTTCACAGATAACCAAGTCTGGAACTGTATACTGCCTTAAAGATCACAACCAACTGACAGTCGAAGTAATTCTTGTAGTAGAATCAACTGAGCATGACCTTTAAGGCAATGGGGTAGTAAATCCGTTTCAGGGTATCCTAATAATGGTAATGGCATCCTGGAATCATTTGGCCCATAAACTCTCCATCTGAGAATTGTCTAACTCTGTTCCTACATAACCAGACCCTAACAGCATCAGGCACTTGGTCAGCACTTCTGCTATATCCCTGTTTAGAGCACAGGAAAGGTATATAACTGGGTGTCCTAGGATAATTGATCTAATGCTGGCAGATGAGCACTTCTAGTATTTTCATGTAGACATTAAAGAAAAGTGGGGAAAGTTGGGAGCACTGAGATACTCCACAAAGTAGAAATTTCCAGGTACCTCTCATCCCCCATCCAGTTCTACTGGAATCCCCACCAGTTTCAGCAGAATAACATGGTGAATGAGATTGAAAGCTACTGAGAGGTTAACAATTGCACTCCCCTAATTCTGTTCTCTTCAGAAGTCATAAATAAATGCAAGCAATCCTGTTTCCAGGATGAATCTGTCCTGAGACCCAGTTGCCAAGAGTTCAGATAATTATCTGCCTCTTCAGGGGTCCTCTGAATTTGTAATACAGCCATTTTCTCT